ATTACAATAATTATCAATTATTGATATTGTATTTAAAAAGCAAGTGATAAATTAAATTCTCTCTCTTATTGATAGGCTATTATCGCGATCACAGACACTGTGTTTTACTAAAGGATTGTAAGGCCAGGCATTTCAGGGACGATAGACCAGAGGCTATAACCGAAAGCGATAGCCATAACCGCAAACATAAACAATCCAGACGTTTAGTCGTGCGATTTGAATGATTTTATTAGTTATTTATTATTTTTAAATTAAACAAACGACACAAAACTCATTGAAAATCACTCCTCAATAAAATATATTAATTCATATGCGATCCTAAACTAAATTATTGTCATTCAAACTGAATTAAATTAAACAAATAGCGAGTTTAATTAAAACAAAATCAATTATTTATTTGAAAGGTTTTGTAAGAGATAAGACCCGGCAATGTGTGTTGCCGTCCGAATGTGTGGCCCCACCCGTGCGTCAGGAGAGACGTCGTCCCCGATATAGACCAAAGACCACGACATCACTGGAGACGACGACGACCACCGCTATACCAGCGCCGGGTAAGTGCGGCCGTAATGAACACTACAGTAAGTGCGGGTCGACATGCAATCAGACCTGCCATACGACACACAACACACTTTGCATAGAGGAGTGTAATGTCGGCTGTTTTTGCGACGAAGGCCTCCATAGAAACCTGGATGGCGTTTGTGTCCCGAAGGATCAGGTATTTGCACATTTGTTTCTCATTCTCTTAATTAAGTCATTGATTGTTTAGTAACTTAGATATTATGAATGAATGTTTAATAGTAATTATAAACAGTGTTTGTATTTGTAGTGCACGTGTACTCTATTGGCCGAAGAGTGCGAATGTGAGGACAGTGTGAATGAAGAGTACTATTGGTGTTATAACGAGTGCGGCAGGACTTGTGGCGATTGGAAACAACCGGCAGATGATAGATGTGACAAATGCTCCAGAGGTTGCTTCTGCAAAGAGGGTATAATTTAACTTTAAATTATGAGCAAAATGTCATTTATTTGTAATATTATTTTACCATAATCTAAATGATTTAGGACTCGCACGAAACGAAAACGGACAGTGCGTTCAGCCAAAAGAGTGTCACAACTCGTTGGCTGAACCCAAATGTAAGGCCAACGAAGTATATAAGGAGTGCGGGTCTGACTGCGGCCGACACTGTCGAGAGATGGCCCACAAATCTGAGGGCCCGTCGCAATGCTTTTCGTGCAGTGCCGGCTGTTATTGCGATCACGATTTCTATCGGTCACACGACGGCCGGTGTGTCCCGGAGTCGCAATGCGTGGCCCAAAACTATCGACTCGAGAGGGAGTGCGGTCTCAACGAAGAGTTCTCGTTCTGTGGCAACGAGTGCGGCACCAATTGCA